GTATGTGTGGTTCAATTGCGGCCTGATATTTGTGTCTCTCGACACTAGCTAGATTGATATGAATCGTGTTGTATGAAAAAAATAGAGATGTACAATGAAGAGTTCCCTAATTTCTGGACAAATGCAACGTTAGTCTAGCTAGAAAGTTACTGACACATATAGAGAATCTCTTTCTGAAAGCTTTATAAAGAGATTTCCGAAAACTAAATTTGAATAGAATTTATGATTAAGTCTTAAATCCAAAATATAAAAACATATCATATATTGTATGATTTGAATTGACTATTTCGATGCATTTTTATAACAAATGAACTTATCTTTAAATATTAAGTTTTATTTTGCTGTTGAAACTTCATCAAATTACTTAAACAAAAAGCAAACACTAGAACATTAAAATTAAAAGAAGAAATCATTTGCAGCTTTTTTTTGTCTGAATTAATTGTCAAACATGGACTTTGTATCATAAAAAAGCATATAAATATATATATATGTATGTTATAATATTTCTTTCGAAACTAACTATATAACACATGAATAAAGAAGAAAATTTTTTAGAGTAGAACTACTTGATTATCAGACCAGAATAGAAACAAAACGAAAAAGATCACATAAATTCACCAGGTTTTATTTTATTCTGAACTGTTAATTTAACCAAGAAAATAAATAAAGCAAGCACATAATAAGTTATCCATGAATAAACAATCACAATAGAGACAAATAAAAACAAAAACAAAAAAGAGAAAACAAATATTAGACTAAACAAAATTACAACAAATATAAATCGATCAATAGACTATAAGCCATTATATAATCGATGTTTCGATGCTTGTTGTAATAAAGTTTTAATAGCTAAAAAAAACAAAACAATCTTTCGTATATTAATAAGAAAAATCTTCCAAAAAAATTACCTTCTCGTTGTTCATCATTGAATTCACCTCTAGGAAAATCAACATCAATTGTAACATAAAGATCACCAACAATATTATTTTGATCATGTTGTGGTAGACCTTCACCTTTTTTCTTTATTCGAGCACCAGGCCAAGTAATTTTTTGATGTTTAATTGTTACCTTAAAAGAAGTATCGAACAACTATTTTACAATACAATATAGACATTCAACTAATCCGAACTCTAGCTTGATATTTAGGGCGAATGATTCCTTATTCGAAAACTATCCAATCAACTCGGACAGTGTCAAATATTTGCTCAATCGTTTCTTGAGGTACAGAGACAATTACAAAGGCACTCTAAGCTTCAGTTGAGAGTTTGAGTTCAATTATAATCTGAGCATTATTAATCTTTTGTGAAATAGGATCTAAAAGAAGTGTTGAAGTAGTCCTAGGAACATCTCTCCTTCACCACAGATGTATAAAAATGACGTTTCGTTATAATATATGAACTACTACCTTATTGCATTTCTGAAAGATCAAATAAAAGGATGGTGAAGGAATGTGTCTCAAACTCGATAGAATAAAACAATCTCCTTGTGATTAGCAACAGCAACTACATCGTATCTCACATTTTAATCCCGCAAGGATTGTGTTAACAGCTTTTTTCCGAATGCCTACATATCTTCGATTTTTTATATTATTTTTTCCACTAAGTGTAGATCTACTATAATCAAGCTTGAGATCCTTTTTTTATGGGTTATTTCTGTTTCCTTTTATTAATTAACTAAAAATGATCGCAATCAAGATCGAATCCAAATGTTCAGATTCAGTGCATGCCCTCACTCGATATAAAATATTTACTATAGTATCTTACATTATGTCCATCAAGATGAGGAAATGATACATCAAAACCATTAAGTGCATCTTCCAGAGTTATTGTTAAATTTGTGTATAAATCATTATTTTTACGTTCGAATCTTGCATGTCTATTAAAAGCAAAAAAGAAAAACAAAATATTTAAGTTAAGAAATAAATAAAAGTTTCATATTTACTTTTGAATACGAATAATAAATTTCAAATCACCTGGTTCACCCTCAATATGAGGTTCTCCTAAATCAATACGAAAAATATTTTTTTTCATAATTGAATAAAAAAAAACAAAGCAGTTCTGTTAGAAAATCAACCTTCAGCCATAAATGGTATTTGATATTCATCAGCTACACCTGGTTCTACGTCAATTTCTAATACCATTTCTTCTGTAACAAATCTTTAAAAGAATAGATTTATAAATTCTTAAATTCATTTATTTCAATCAAATTTTTCTTTACTTTATATTTGAACATTCATCACATACTTGTTCTTGCATCATTTGAAACTAAAACAAGAAGCCATTCTCAATAAACATATTATTCTGCTATAGAGATCAAATAAACAGTTCGATATCTATCTATTAGATATACAAGAACATTACACATATTTATGTCATATATGCATAACTTCCGCAATAATATATTCTTATTCTGACATCTGTGTATGAAAATAGATTCTTTTATCTTCTTATATTTCTTTTTGTCCTGCATAACCTTCTCACATTATACATATGACATATCTCAATTTTATCATAGATATCTTTTTGCAAGAGAAATTTTTTGATAAATCTTACTCGTCCAGGACCCATTTGAGTTGTTCGCATTTCCATTCGACAATTACATCTTCATGAACCAGCTGTTTGTTTTGCTACGGATTTAGCTCGAACAACCTAAATAATTGATTTTAGAATGCAAAATAAAATTAAGACCACCCCCAAAAAAAGTCAATTTTGGCCAAATTTATCGATTTTATGATAAGATTTAAGGTTATTGTATAGGCTTTTCTGAACCCTCATACAGAAGAAATTTACGTTTTTTTTTCTTCTAAAAACTTTTGATTTTTACATTTTCGTGTGTCCGTGATTCCTCTGCCATTTTAAATGCTAGAAAGCTGAACTAAGTGCCAAAATGAAGACAAACATTAGCTCTACAATTTACCAGAGCTGCATTTTTCATCTTCTCCATTAATATTTATAAAAAAAACTAACCATTCTGAACCTACACCCTCCCCCCCCCCTGGGTTTTTCGTATTTCATTAGAGAAGTTTTCTAGAAACACAAGCTAGAAGAAAATCCAAAAATCGGTCCCTATTAACTTGTAGCATCACACTTTGGCTATATTTTAAAATCAACCCGAGCTTTCTAGCATTTAAAATGGCAGAGAAATTTGGGATACATGAAAACCTAGATTTTGACCCATAACTTTAAGCTAATTCTTCGTAGATTCAATGTATCGGGCTGAAACTTTTATTGTGAGGTTTCTACCTCGAGATACATCTCTACTAGAAATTTCATCAAGATTGAATGCTCGAAAAAAACAAATTTCTTTGTTGAGAAGGAGTCTTCCTTAAAAAGTTCTTACTTCAATAAAATTTCCATTATAAACTTCTTCAAGTGTTACATATAAATCCACAACTAAATCTCCACCACGTGGTACTTGATTATATCCATCATCTCTCGAACCACCAAAATGAAAAAAATCACCAAAAAAACTACAGACAAAAAAAAAACCCGAAGAATTTAGTATTTATCTATGTAACGAAAATTTACCTTGAAAATGGATCATGAAATGAATCATCACCACCTTGTTTTAATTGGCCATATCTAAAATTAAAAAATTAAAAGGAATTTTAATTTTCTATATTGATTACCAAATTCTTGGTCCGCTGCAATTAAAACTTGAAAAGCTAAGCCAATGGTTTGTTCGAGCTCTAATATTTGTCCCTCTATTTGCATAAGTCTATTAATTTTTTTTGATCTAGATCTTGGTAGATGCGATGAACTTGCACCAGGTGCAATAATACTAGCTGATGGATTGGATGAATATGCAACAAATGTAGGATCAATACTTGATGAATTCCATGAATATGCAGTAGGTGCAATACCATGATCTGGTGAATTCCACGAATATGCAGCAGGTCCAATGTCATGATCTGGTGGAGTTGATGAATGTGTACCGGATATAGAACTAGAACCAGGTGGATTGGATGAATATTCACCAGATGCAACACCAACTTGGTTTAAATCCGATTCAATTTGTTTTTTCCTTTTCTAAGTTTCTCATCGTATTGTAATCAGCCATCAAGCGAGTATAAGTTTCTCGAACCTAAAAAAGTCTAAGGGTGTGGGTGTGGGTATGGGTGTGGGTGTGGGTGTGGGTGTGGGTGGGTGTGGGTGTGGGTGTCGGTGTGTGGGTATGGGTGTGTGAGTGTGAGTGTGGGTGTGGATATGGGTGTGGGTGTGGGTGTAGGTGTGGAAGTGTGTTATGCATTTATTATTATATCCACACCTACACCCACATTCGCACCCACACCCTCTGCCCTATACGATGCTCTTCATAAACAATAACAGATTTGACCATTTCTGATTCTGATTTGCAGACTCGTTAACAAAAATTTTGTTTCAAAAACAATAGCTTTTATTAGGATCAAGCATTCACGAAAAATAATCTGGATTAAAATAAAAAGTTTGAGAAAAGTTACATTTTTTAAATAGAATATAATATATTCAATAATTTGAAGTGAAAAATTTCGGTCTGTCATCTTCATCAACTATGTTAAAGATGGGTAAGTCAAATTCATACCCAATGTACCAGCCAAATTACTTATAGCAATCATCATAAAAAATTGTTGTAATTGTTTAGCTTCATCCAGTGTTAAGACATGGGGTACTTCTTGTATTGATTGTTTCGATGATTCAAAAAAACCACCTAAATAACTCTTCGAAGTCTGAATTAATAATAAATCAGGTGCCAATTGCCAATCAGCATTGACATCAACAATAAAAAATGAAGCAGTATTTGTTATACTATCTCCATTTTTAAATAATGTAAGTGAACGATATTTTCCATCCATTGTCGGTGAATAAAGATATTCAATATTATCCCATGAAAAATCATCGGAATAGGTTAAACCAAGTAAAAAACTACCTTTCGATGGTAAATTATAATCCATGACAATAGTATTGATAAATTCTGATGCTTTATTAGCTGGTATATCTATAGCTTTTAATACAGTTGATTTTTGATCGAAATATGTAAAACCGAATCGAGTAATTCGTGTTATAGTAGTTGATTTACTTGTTTTAAATGAACTAACAATATCTTTCCATGAATTGGCTACAGATGAAAGAGCTTGTGATAAAGCAGCAATTTTAGCTGGTATAGTTCGTGAATAAGATTCATCATTATTTATTTGTTTGTCTTCTGGTGAAATAATTCGAGGATCGAAATATGATAACAGACGATACTGTTTTGGATTAAGTACACTACCACCAATGAAACGTAAAATATTCAATACAATATTGGTTGTTGTCAATTGCCATGGTGTAATCATTTTTGGAATTTGTTCATTTAAAAATTGACCATTATCTGTCAATATTGCTGTACGCGCAATGTTTAATTGATTATTTAAATTCTCTTCACTACAAGATGTGCTATTATTTGTATTATTGCATAGTAATGTCTGAATAAGTGCTTGTGAAGAGATATTTAAGTGAAGAAAATGAATTGTATAGGTTGTATTATCATGGTTTTGACCAATTATCCAAATATATTTTATTGTAATATTTTTCTTATCATAACCAGTAGATGATGTTGTAAATAAGTTTTCATATGAAAATCGTGATGATTGTAATTGTTGTAAAAATTGTGAATTCGATGAAAAATCTTCAAATGCATAGTCGTCTGACAATGCTTTTAACAAATTGAGAATATGCTTATACTCAACTTTGGCCATTTTTAATGTTTGACTGGATAGTTTCAATGATGTGAAATTAGATTGTAATGCAGTTAAAATTGAATCATTATACGATGCCAATACTTCAGCTTGAACATTCTTGTTTGAAAGAAAATTTTCAATTGCTTGTGTCAAATTAACACCACGAATATCATCATGATTGTTCGGTATCGTACGTTGTACTGCTCTACTCAATTGTTGTTGATTGAACTAAATGAATTGATCGGCTGTCATTTTTTGTTTCACTATGTTCAATTCTTCCGGTGTAATACCACGTTCTGGAATTACAGTGTCACAGCAACAACGACGTGTCCATAAACATTTGGAACATTTAGAACAACTCTGAAAGGCAGGCCCGTATAACTTTTTGACCATTCCATTTGTATTTATTGTAACGTATGCAACAGCTACTGGTGTATTTGCATCTGCTGGAGAGGCAATCCTCTTGGCTACAACAATTAATGATGTTAACGAGGCACTTGATTGAATATCAAATATAAATGCTTGAGCCGTATATGAACCTTCATCAGCAGCTGCTATCAATAGTTTTACATTTTGAATAGCTTGATTACGAAATTGTTGTGATATTGACCAGTTTTCCATAATTGTAGCTATATTTGAACTTCCAACTTGAGCTTGTCCGATTGACCCATTAGTCGTGGTTGGATTGATAAAATTTGCCCAGTTAGCTGAAACAGATCAGAATTCAATAAAAGAAAATTTGTGATTTTCCAAAAAAGATCTTACCAGGTGTCGGAACATTTAAGACTTCAGCGGCTTGTTTCATCGGTATCCAAACATCATCTGATTTTGCATCGAGTCGTATCACCGATGATACAAAATCACTGACCACCCTGCATTCCGTCAGTAGAAGCAACGTCAAAAGAGCAATGAACATTTCTTTCATAGTTTATCTGAAAAACAAACGAAAGTGTTGAAATTCAGAATCATTATTAAAGAAGTTGGATTTGAAATTTCTATGGTCAATCGAGTCTGAAGATGTTGTTTAGGACAGAAGTCAACGAAGAATAATCAAATGCATGAGATATTCAATGTAAATTGCACAATAAATCGTTTTAATATCTCTCTTTTCATTATAAGTGGAAAGCATAGTATCGAATTCGACAGCAATCAAATTAGATATCTGTTATTAGTCTTCACATAATAGCTCTAAGAAATTTTTCGCATTGCTTTAGGGAATAGAATGAAACTTGAAAGCAAAATATATCAGATTAGAGCATAGTCTAAAGAATGAAGAGAAAACCTACTTGTTTCGAAAGCATAGAACTTTTCAAGCCGTTGAAAACAAGTGATCTAATCGGCTCAGAGTCTCTTTGATCAATCAGAAATGAAAATAAAATATTAATAGAAAGCAAACGTCGTTGTAATACTTCGGAATAGTCGATAACTCATTTTCATGAATTTTCTCTTCTACACTAAACCATTCATGTCTGGGTTATCTTACGTAATTATGCGATGAATCTTTGAAAATAAGTTGAAAATCGAAATGATGAGGACTGTCTGGAATTTATGTAGGACCGTGCCGATAAGAGGCACGTGACCTTCTGCTTTTCGAAACGTTTGGCTTTTTACAATGAAATACAGCCGTATTTCATTGTTTGTTTGCACGACAGACTGCTATGAAACAAGTCAATTGATTGTTCGATCCTCGTGCATCTCTGGACTCAAGAAGTACTCGCATGACTATCCTATACAGGCGGATTGCTTCGAATCAAACTTTATTTACGAATCGGTTTGGTCTTTTTTATCGAACATTAAGCCTATTACACTATGGCTTTAATTCACTCTCATATTGGAATGATAGAAAACCTGGTACTTACATATTGATGGTGAATATACACTGTTTTTGCAAACTTACCGTCGTATGACAAGAAGTTTTGATCAAATATCTCACCTTAGTCTCTAATATAGGCTCAGTATATATATATAGGAATATATTGGTAATCTAGTAAAAGTCAGTTTGATACTACTTCTATACATTTAACCAAGTATTTATATACTTGTTTGGTGCATTTTATCTCATATATATGACGCAAATATTTTTACATACGCGAAAGAACTAGTCAAATCCCTTGAAATACTCTCATTCGTCATTACAGATCACTTCCATTTTTCTGGTGAGCAAAATTTCAATGAATAGTGTTTTAGTATGCAATTTGTTTTTTCGACATTATCAAAATTGATTCATATTAGTCGCTGTAAAATCAAAATGGACCTTTCAGTTCGAATATTCGTTCTTATCTATGTTTATTTGTCTTCCTTTTTCGTGATTGGGGAGTGACACTTTATTTTTATTTTACTTGGAAAAAGTAAAATAAAGTAAAGTAAAGCAATTGACTTTACTTTACCCGATAGAGTAAAGAGAAGTAACTTTACTTTATCAGTATATTAAAGTAGGTCTACTTTATGCGAAAAGTAAAGTAAAGGGTGTGGGTGTGGGTGTGGGTGTGGGTGGGTGTGAATGTGGATGTGGATAACTTCTGTATAACTACCCATACTCACACCTACACACACCCTGTGATAAAATACTAGGAAAAATTTAATATATCATATTGGTAAAAAATCAGTATGTAATGTATAGATATAACTGTTCAAGTGATATAGCGATCAGAAAAGAGAAAACAACTAGCCAGTAAAAAATGAAAATGACAACGAACGCACATAAAAATGAATCTGCAAGAGCTATTCTCTAATAAAACTGAATCGAGCGGAATGTATTAAGAGTACAACAACCCACCTTTGAAATTACGGTGGCGTATGCATTATTTCAGTTATAATTAATAAGCAAAGATCTTTAAAATATATAAGAAAAAACATTCAAAACCTTATCTTTATCTTTCTTATTGGAATACGAGCTATAATTTATAGATTAATTGTTCTGTATGACAACAACATGTCATGTAAAATCAAATAAATCGCTATTTAAGAAGAGTGTATCTTATCAATCACTCGACTAGTGTTTATTTCTATAATCAGTAAATAAAAAGAAATAAAGATATTTGATTCAGAAGCAATATCATGAAAACAGTGTTTCACAATATGAACCATGTAATTATAGCGAGTATGAACTTGTTACTTCTCGAAGTATCAAAAGAATAAATGAATACAAGGAAGAACGTATATTGATGAGAAGAAAAGAGTGATAACAAAGTAAAAAAAAAGGTATATTAGCTATATCATACGTTCATGTGCTCATCTCCCTTTTTTTGCCAAATTCTTTTTTTAATTATAAATCTATCAAAATATTTTTTTCATATGTTTTATGTAAGATTCTAGTCTAGTTTGCAAGATCCTGTGAATTGGATACGAATCTGGTCAATATAATCTCGACTGAAAAGTCGAGAAAACTTCTGATTTGGTAAGAATCGTGCAACTGTTAGACAGTCAATCTGATCTATTTGAGAAATACAATCTAAAAGGAGTACTGAAGTTTATTGATAGACATTAGGACACATTCTCTCATAGAAACGATAGATTCATAACAATGACTTCTCATACATGTGCTAGATATCTTTAGTAAAATATTTTCGTCATCACACACCATGATAGACGTTTGTATTATACAATCACAGACTGCTTATCGATACAGCTTCGCTATAATATATGAAATATTTTCTTATTGCATTATTACATGATTTAATAAAAGAGTATGCGTGTGAATGTGGATTAGAATCACTCACGGCTACAAATTGATGTACATCTAGGATGTGAATGCAGTTTGTTGGTCTGATTACTTAAGAACAGCAAATTCACACATTCACACTCACATCCAAATAAATGATGTGATCAAAAATCGCAAATATTTTACGAAAATATTTCAAAGTAATGAAGAAACAAAATAAGAGAGGAAGGAAGAGCGGTTTATATGAGGACGGACAGGGCGAGACAAGGAAGCTAAAATTTATCCCGTTTCAGCCTGTGAGTGAAATTGAGAAAGTCAATGAGTGATTTCCACTTTCCTTAGGAATTATTACAGTTGCACTAATTATCCGTCGACGAATTAGCAGTTACTATTTCTCAGCTCTTGTATGTTGCTGTCTTCACAGAGATGCAAAACATAAATTTATTATATAAATTTCAATTCGAAATTGGACCAGTGTCTATCAAGTGAAAATATAATGAATTTTTCATTGATTATTTTTATTTTTTTGCAGTGATTCAGAACACAATGACTTCGATACTCTTCCGTATAACAAAGAAAATGGATATAAAAAAAAAGAGATGAAAAATTCTCAATAATTCTATTCCTTATCCAATTTTTTCTATATGATGAATTTTTTCGTTCTTAAATTCAAGATTTCTTACATTTGTTGTATTTTCCCACTTTCATTTCCTATGTTAACTTTTGACAAGTATGTAAAAAATTAGTCAAAATTTGAATAGAATGATTGATTTATCGATTATATGTACATATCAACATATTTGTTCAAACATTACTCATCAATCATTCTTCACTTTTCGTTTCGCTCTTCTCTTCTCTTTCTTTTGCGCTCTACACATTAGTCTATAAAAGCATATAGTATAAACGAGCCTTATCAACATTCAATGTTATAAAGCGAAATTTGTATTCTTCTATCAAGAAAATGTATTTGCGATTCTTTTCCCCAATGATGAAATATCTGAATCTATACTATCTAAGTATCGAACAATCTTATTCGATAAAACAAATGATTTGATAAGGTACAAATTATACGGCCCATATTATTATTTAGTTTTTTTTCCTTTTCCTTTCTTCGTTCATAGAAATAATAAAATAATCCAATATATTAATCAATTATTTCAAATATTTCACAGCATCATATCTTAATGAATATTGATAAAAAAAACCTACATATTCTTCTATTTTTTATTTTTCAGCAATGTCAGAAAAAAATTTATGTACTGATATAACATGTGACGATACAATCAAAGAATTATATCAATGTCATTGTTGTTTACAACTTGTGTGTTTAACTCATTTGATTCAACATGTTGAAATAGCAAAACAAAATAGACAACAATTAAATTATCTTCGTAATGAATTAAATATGGTTATAAATAAACTTAAGTTAATTGTTGAAGAAAAACTATTGACTATTAAACATGAACAAAACTTGATTGAACAAGCAAAACAATTTCTTAATACACCTAATAGTACTATCGAAGAATTACAGAATAGTTTCGAACAAATTAATCAAGCAATTACATCAAATCGTTCAGGTAAAAAAAGACTAAATCAGATAATCGTTTTTTTTTCTGGTTTATTACTTTGCCTTTATTTTTTTATAGAAGAAATCATATTGAAAGTTGAACCTTTATTAACGAATATGGAAGAATGCTCTTATATTCGCGAGCATGATATGAAAAATACGAATTTGAATGGTAAAATAAAATCTCTCTCTTTGTAAACTCAAGTTTAATTGTACAAGATTAATTGAGATTGAAGAGTAGTTTTTCCATAAGCAACCTTATTCGATTTTGTTTGTACAACGTCTATGATTTTGATCAAATCATAGACGTTGATATTTCAAATTCCTCAAATGTAACGCGATGACATTTCGGTGACAATATTAGCAATTTTTCTCAGTAATTAGATTATCTAGTAAGCTTTTACTTTCATTATTAGATGTATCTTTGCCTTGTCCATAACCTCTGAAGATTTTAGCTCGTTTTAAAAAAAAAGCAAAAACGTATGACGAAAAAGTGTCGAAAAGTTTAGGGCGCCGTGTTTGTTTCTTACTTTATTACGAGTGTACGCTACATTACAATAAATCTTCCGTAGAAGTTTTGTAGCAGACACTTTAAAGTACTCAATGAAAAAAAGAATTCTTTAAATAGATTTTTTTATTTTGAAGAGGGGTCAGTTTAACTAATATAACGCGATGACGATAATTTCTACTAACAAGCTTTTTTCTATGTTACGTTTGCTATATCTATAATTGTCTAAAAACGAGATACTATTTTTATTTCCATGATTAAACTATACAAATGTTAAATATCTTTTCTCACACTTTATCTCATACGCTACAAGATCCCCGTAATGGATTTTAAAAAAGAAGGATTTTGAGTTGTTGGCCATCAGGGCTTGAAACGGGCCGCCCGACCCGGAGTAGGTTTTTTATAAAAATATATAGATGTCAATCAATCTAGAATTTATTAAAAAATTATTATCGTAGACGCTTATCTCGAATTTTAATTGGATAATAAAATGGACCAATAATCTGTTGACAGACATAATTTGTTATTTGTACGGTTTTTTCGATACTTTATCATCTTCTCACCAGACAAATTGTTTATTATACTTGACTTTTTTCACGATAATTTTTTATTTATCTATTGTTATTCTTAGATATTTATCTAATAGATAAATATCTAAGAATGACAATAGACGAAAAATTTAAAACACCTAATCCTCCTCCCTTTTGGCAACATCATGAAGTTCATTTACCACATTTGGCCAAACTGGCCAAAAGGTTGTATTCAATACCTGCTACGTCCTGTGGTGTAGAGCGCCAGTTCAGCGCTGCAGGAGTTTTAGTAAATGAAAGAAGATCATCATTAAATTCTGAAACAGTTGAACATGTACTTTTTTGTGCGCTCGGTGCAGAAAGCATTAAGGGCCCCCCCCCCCCCCCCAGAAAATGGATTTTTTGAAAAAATCGATTTTGAGATAAGCACACATGCTGAAAGCCCAAAGAGTCCTCTTTCAGATTATGTGCGATTTGTTGCACTTTGAATGGTTTTGGACGGTGAAAATAGCGGTTTTCTAGGAGCACTGGTAGAAATATAAGGTTTTATCAGAAATTTTTTTAGTTAGGGAGATGTGACAGTGGCCAACAAACTTGTAGTATTTGTTTAATGAAAAACACATACGTTCTGTTATATTAGTTAATTAGAGGAACGTAGTCATTTCTGCTTAAAATCCTGTATACATGATGAAATTGCCGTATAGAGGTCGTGACAATCATAGTGAAATTAAAAATTGTTTCATACAAACTTGTTGATTGGTTTTCTCAAAATCACTTTTTTTGGAGAGTTAGGAACCGATTTTTCGAACTGTAGAAGAGGTAGCGAGCTACCGTTTTTTTTAAATAAAAGAAGAGACCTGTGTATAGAAATGTATATACCGTTTTTTCGAAATTCGATTTCGTTGCGGAGATAAATGGATAACACTGATGTCAAAAAACCCTAATTTCCGAGTTAGTACAGAAAAATGTATCGAAAAGCCCAACAAAATCGAATTTCGGAAAAAAGATATATGCATTTCTAGACACAGGTCTCTTCTTTTATTTAAAACAAACGGCAGCTCTCTACCTCTTCGACAGCCCGAGAAATCGGTACCTTACGAAGATCACCATTTTGAGGACTAATTCGTCAATAACTCATTAAAACAAAAACTTTATGAGCCAAAAGTTTGCAAGAAATTAAGTTAACATAACACATATATTGCCTGAAAATTTCAGCCAAATCGGACCACGAATAACGAAAAACGATTCCTGAGGGGGGGAGCCCCTTAATGAAAAATCCAAATCTTTTTTTTCAACGTAATGATCATTTTTTTCCTGTGTTGGACATCTATTTTTGTTCGTTTTACTTGTTGATACTTTCTTCTTCATTGTATTTATAAACATTTTTTGTTCATTATACTTGTCAATATTTTTCCTCTTATTATTGGCATCAACCGATTCTAATAAATTTATCAGTAAGTTAATGGTATATTTATTAGAAGTTTCTTTCGAACTATCAGACTGGTTTTAAAGATCGGTTGTTACAAAAAGAATGTTTATTTAAATAACATTTTCTTTAGCGTCTGGCTGGACCGGGCGGGCCTAGTGATTTGATGGGCCAGGGGGGGGGGGGGGGGGGAAGGCGGGCTTGAATTACTTTTGGGACGCTTTGGGCCGGTCCAGACCATGAAAAAGTGGCCCGTTTCGAGCCCTGTTGGCCATTGAGACGTCGCGTTTTTGGTGTTTCAATGAGATATCTAGCCGAACTTAATCATCGTCATTTAAATTTATATCAACAAAGAAAATGCTTCTTAGTAAAGCTAGAAAAGGTCAGAAGAGAGATAGTTAATGAGCTAAGTTATTATTCTTAGTTAAAAATAATCATATATATATGACTAATACTATTTGTTGAAAATGAGGAATGAACGTTTGTTTTGCTTTTTCTTCTACTGTAGGTTTCATTTTGATTTGAAAGATTGTAAAATCGATTGATTAATGAAATAGCAGATCCAGAAATCGTTATTTTTAATGAATACTAAAAGACAATTGGAAAATTTACTTAAATGATCATAATAAAATTTATGAACATAATCTCTTATAAACTTTGTTTTGTCTACTCTTAGCAAATTTTTATTATAGACTTAATATAATTTCGATTGGTAAAGATTAGTTCATGTAGTTTCTTCGTAACATAGAAGAGAAAGCTTTTAAAATATGTTTAGAATTAGTAGAAGATTTACGAACGTCAAAAGATATAACTTTAAAAAAATAAACATAATCTATTTAAGATCATGGATCTTCAACAAATATTATACCAAATTTGATAGATACGATCTTATCTAAGTAAGTTTCTTTTTTATTAGAAGAAATTTAAGATACACTACATATTTTCATTTTTCAGTGAAACAACGAAATCCATCGAGGTAAAAATAATTATATTCATATGAATATCAATAAAATCAATTTATTTAATTGAAATACCTCATATGTCAAATATTGCTATATTACATCTAATTACCGATTAATCATATTAGTATAAGTTACAATTCAACATTTCTCTCATTCTAATATACTCAACAGTGAACCCAATAGATATTTGTTCTTAGTATATATTGTTAACCGACAAAGAAAATAAACATTCTTAATAGCATAACTAAATAAACAATAAACACAAGTGATGCGATAGTCGATTAAGAAAGAAATGTTCTACAAAATTGTGTTTAACAATCTGATTTCTTTTTGGTTTTAGTACATGAAAATAACTATTATCTTCACTGAAAAATTAAATTAGCACATTTTTTTACATGCCAGATTCTAATTGCAAGTATCTACGAACTGGATTTTATATAGAACATTAGTTTTTAAATATTAAAATATTATCTAACTATTATTTTTTTTTTACAGTTCTTCAATCAATAACAGAAAAATTTCGACTTTATTTTGAATCTTTTTATAATCGCCGACGGAATAGCTTAAAATTTGGGAAAAGATCGATATATTCTATGGACAACAGAGAATATTGTAGGGCACAAAGAAATTTTATTATTCGTACAGTCTTACCAAGAGGATGGGGCTAAAATCTTTGTATTGCTTCATAAAAAAAAAATAATATGCAAAAAACTTGACGTTTATTATATTTTCCTCATAAAAAAATCGATTCAAATATACATAGTTTTTATTGAATTTGACTTTATTTGAGAGTAGACACTAAAATGCTAAAAAAACCTAAACGAAAATAAAAACGAATCAGCAGTTATGTTTAAGTTTTAAAACAGTATTTTTAGTGTTTCAGTTAGACAAGCTCTTATTGCTGAGCAAAATATTTTTTATCTTTAGTTCAAAAAATTTAAGATGTTTCTTGTAATAATCAAGGCGCAAATATGTAGTATAAGAAAAGAATTTAATTGTTGATATCACTTCGACGTTTTATATTATTGAAGAAACGAGATCTCATTTAAAATGCTATATGCAAAAATTATTTTTCTATAGTTAGTTTGTATCGATAATCTATCATATCTTCTTTATCAACTACTTGGTAAAAAATAAATAATAGACTATCTAAAATAGTTTCCTTAATATTTGTTTTTCTTTTATTTTAAAAGGATATATAAGAAAAACGTTTTTTAAATATATATTGTAAAAAAAAGAGATTATACTTACATTCATTCGTTATTTTCAATTACAACGAAACTAAAAGAGGACTTCCAAATAAAATGACATATTTACGAAATGTAATCAATAAAAGATGAATGAGAAGTTTGAAAGCAATGCCAAATATTTTATCAAGACTTGAGATCTTGTAATAAACACTTATATTCCACTTAAAGATTCAAATCTGATTTGCCCAAAGGATAGAGTGGTACAACAAGATTGCCCTATGACAATTTCCAGTAGGTAAAGACTTCTTTAGAAAGATGCGTTCTTAGGTTCTTGTTACTGTATTGTTTTTAAATACTCTGACATTCTCAAATTATGAAATATAAAGCCATTAAGATTAGTTGGATGTAAGAACTTAAGTGTTTGAGTATGTTGTCAAAAGGTCGATTTTCAATTGTTTCTCTTTTGCAGTACCGTACAAATAGAAGACATTTTATTCAAAATTCTTCAGATTACTTTAGTAAAGAATCATAAAATTAATGATTTTTGGCTAAAGAAATGGATACTACCATCTAGCTCATTCA